GGGAGCCCGATGCGGGACTCGATCCCGGGACTCCAGGATCATGACCTGAGCCGAAGGCAGTCGCTTAACCAACTGAGCCACCCAGGCGCCCGCCTCTGTGGTTTCTTATGAGAAACTGACTGAACCGTTTTGAGGCTTCCTTTGACCTAATGAGTCCCTTCTTCCTTGCTGCTCTCAAGGTTCTCTTTCTCTTTGCCTTTATCCAGCCACTCTCTCACCATGAGAGTTCGGAGTTAGGTGAGGAAAGGCAAGCCCCTTGCGTCGGTCCTCAGGGAAGCCCCAGACAGCTAAAAGTAGACAAATACAGTTCCTTGGGAACAAGGTCTCCTCTGCTCCCTCCAGAACAAGCGCCCTATGTGAGGAAGGTCAGTTCTTGTCTTCAAGACTGTTGGCGTGGAGGGGAGGCGGGTGAGGTAAGGCTCACAAAGCTCTCCTAAGTCTTCTGTGTTTATTCAACATTTATTGGTTGCTATAAATCTTTATTTCCTAGAGTCGGACTAATTCTGACCAGTTTTTGCCCATTTTTTGGTGTTTCTGTGAAGGGGCAGGCCCTTCAGATTCCCTACTCTACTATCTTTGCTGATGTCACTCTAAGGGTATTCTACCTCTCTGTTCCTGCCCATCGCCCATTCTTTTTTCCACTATGCCCCTTCACATTATTTTTTTTAAAAGATTTTATTTATTTGACAGAGAGAGACACAGTGAGAGAGGGAACACAAGCAGGGGGAGTGGGAGAGGGAGAAGCAGGCTTCCTGCTGAGCAGGGAGCCCGATACGGGGCTCGATCCCAGGACCCTGGGATCATGACCTGAGCCGAAGGCAGACGCTTAACGACTGAGCCACCCAGGCGCCCCGCCCCTTCACATTATTAATCACAGTTATTTAAAATTCCCTGTTTGATGATTCTAAAATCCGTGTCCTATCTGAATGTTGATCTGAGGTTTGCTTTGTTTCTTCAGACTCTGTATATTATTGCCTTGTAGCATATGCTCTACTTTTTTTTATTGAAAGCCAGAACGACATACTGGATAATAGGAGCTAAGGAAATAGGCCTGTGGTGTGAGGTTTTATGTTGATCTGCCTAGGAGTTGGGCTTCATTCAGTGCTTGTTCTAGCTGTCTAGCTGTACGTGCCAAGGCTGCGATTTCCTCCAGCATCCTTGTTTGTCTCTCTCCTGTTGTCTTTGGCCATCTCTCAAAAATCCTCCTTAAATAAGAAGCTGGGCCTTGCAGCCCTTCTCACTGTGGTATAACAGTCCAATAATCCACTGCTATTCTTCTAGACCCTGTTACTGTGGTGGTATGATGCGGGGTGGGGGGGAAGTCAAGTGTTCTATAATCTTTTTTTTTTAAGATTTTATTTATTTATTTGTCAGAAAGAGAGAGAGAGAGGCTGAGCACAAGCAGGGGGAGCGGCAGGCAGAGGGAGAAGCAGGCTCCCTGCTGAGCAAGGAGCCCAATGCGGGACTCGAACTCAGGACCCTGGGATCATGACCTGAGCCGAAGGCAGATGCTTAACCGACTGAGCCACCCAGGCGCCCCTCACTTGTTTT